CAGTCATATTTTATTGGATTGTATACTCTTTCGATGTTCGTATAATTAATGCGTTTCAGTCGCCACTATTTCATTTCAAACCGATATCGTTTGCCATCGCAGCATTGTTTCCCAGCAATTATTTATAAAATTTTGCATTTTTTTCACGCTACTTCCCTATTATCAAAAATACCGAAAAAATTCGAAACATACCTCGTCTTCTGGCCTCCTCCGCACCAGTCACCACAAAAAATTCTCCTCGTGTGCGTATATAAATTTTTCTCGCCCAGACATATTATGTGTTTATGGAATGCGAGAATTTTGTCAAGCTAAACGCAAAAATTCGCTCAGTTGTCGAATAACTCGGGACCATGCATGTTTAACGTGTGTGCGAAGTATAAATCGTGTATGATTTTAGAATAGTATACGCTTTTGATCGCCAGCCAAAGACTGTGTTTCGTTGTATTGTGTCGAATTGTTTCCTTAGAATTTCTATTTTTTTTTTTTTCAGTGAGTTAATTATTAATCGATTTTCAGCCCAATTTAATTGAAAATATGTGCTAATTTTCGTGTCTGTTTCTCGTATGTTTCAGTGGAGGCTTATATTTATTGGCGTGACCCGAAATTATCGGGCATCATCTTCGGCAGTGGCTTGGTGCTGTTGTTATCTTTGGCCTATTTCTCGTTGATCAGCGTGGTCGCCAACGCCGGTCTAGCTATTTTAACATGCGCCATCGTATTTCGTATCTACAAAGACATCATGCAAGCTGTGCAGAAAACACCGCAAACGCATCCGTACAGGTGAGCGAACTCGCAACTCGGCCACCTAACACCGCTACGTGTGCCCGTCCTTATTCAGAAAATTGGTTCGACTCCAACTTTGAGACGGAATTTGAATGTTTTCGTATTCGTGTTCTTTCGTCGGTTATCAGTCAGCCAGACGTAGTTGTTTCAGCTTACAGTCTTATCAGTAATTTCGTGGTGACTCAGAATTTGGTGGTGTTGCAAAAAAATATTACAGTTCGAAGGGTGATGCTTTTACGAAAGACATTTCAGGATTAATACTCGAACGACCAGGTGGCCACATATGTGACACCACAGAAAAATTTTGAGTTATAGGCCTCAAGAGGTGGCCTCACATATGACACCAATCCCAGGCATTCCCAAAAGGAGTTTTTTTTTGGAACAGGTGTGCCTAATTACTTCTATTGAAAAAATGCAACTCTTCATCCAATCTAATGCCTTCCTGGCCTAATTTTAGCCTCCTTCGACTGTAATCAATGGTTCTGCGATGATTAAAACTAGAAATTTATGAAAATACTTTGAGATACCCTAATTGGTGTCATATATGATGTCACCTGGTCTTTTGAGGCCTGTAAAATCACCTGGGGGTTATAGTGTTGATGCACGTATTGCTGTTACAACT